GCTGTTTCCAGATTGTTTTCAATCACAGTGACAAGTGAAATTAATCAAGTGGCTATGGTTTTTTTTTTTAATTTTCAATACAGCTTAATACTTCTATGAAGATTCAGCCATAGAATGCTCATAATGCACCCAAACTTTGGTTGTCTTTAATGATTCTATGGGAATTGGACACTGAGTAATTTAATATTCTGGTTAACTGAGAATTAGCCTGAAACTGCTTCCAAAATCCAGAATCGTAGATCTGGACGGGATTTTCAAGGTCATATCCTCCAAATTCTTATCCACTGCAAGGTCCCTTGAGCCACATCCCTGACAAACACTTATTCTGGCTCTGTCTGAACACAGCCAAGTGAACCGGGCCGGCCCTATCCCCTCCTATGTGATATCCATGCCATTTTATTTTCTCTTTTGGGTCTAGACCTGCCATACCATCTGTATGAGGGAACTCCCAGTGTGGACACTGCCTCCTTTGGGTACAACAACTCATCTGTAACCTACAGTCTTAGAGAGTTGCCCAGGACCCTGAAAGGTTCAGTAACTTGACTGTGGTCACACAGCTAGGATGTGTTAGAAGCAGGACTTGAATGTAGATCCTTCTAATTTCAATGCAGACCTATTTACTATATAAAGTTTTGTAATCTGGATACATGAACTTAGGTGTTTTTGTGAAAGGTGGGGGTTTTTTTACATATTTTGAAAACTACATTTCAATATAATTGGTTTTCTTCGTAATACTGTGTTTTTACTTTAGGCATTTAAAAACATAATTCACTGGATTGCTAAAGGGGCCCACGACACAAGAAAGGTGAAGACCCCTTGCACTATAAACATGCTGCTTATTTATTATATTATTACACAGTTAAAATTGCCCTTCCTGCCTTAGCAATTATAGTAGGCATCTTGCTTTGCTTTACTAAGAATACTGTAGAACCTCAGTTCTAATTCTAAACACAAATTCTCATTGCTCAGGACCACAGATAGAGATGGAGAAGGTGTAAATGATTGGGTAGAATGAATACCAAGATCAGAACAAACTCTAAGAGCCTATTGATTGGGGGAAGGGGGCAAGGTAGGGGGGAACTCCATCTCTCTCCCCACCCCCCAACTCCTGTCTTTCTTTTGATATAGAGCTCATGGGAAACAAGCCTCAGAATGAAAGGACACTTAGGACCTGAGGTGAGAAGGGCTTCTGTCCCTGGTACTAAATAAGGCAGGAGGACTTCTGGGTAAATTTCAAAAACAAGCCCTTCCAATCAAATGGCTTTGGCCATCCTTTGGAAGGTCCTGAAGGGCAAAGGGCCTAAAGAACTCAGCAGAATGTTCCCTTTCTCTTCTGCCTTGGTGCATTCAACTGGTATTGCCTCAGAAACCAAGCGTTTCTGCTAATTAGCTCAGTGATCATTTCTGAGGGGGACCTTCATGCCTTGGCATAAGGCCATTTTAAACTTCCTTTTCCACAAACTAGTGAAACTTACCTAGAGATGATAGCAAGACAACTAAATCCCCACTTCTGGTGTTCCTGTTCTAAAAGATGGCATAAGTTCAGCCCTAAGCATACGGCCAAGTATGCTCTCCATTCGACCCCCCACAGGTGCCCAGTACCCTGATACTTTCACTCCTGCCGACTTTCTAAACCTGGTCTTTAAAAAGGCCTGGAAACTAATTTGTGTTTCATTTTTGTCTATATATCCTCTGAACCTCTGAGAGAAGTGGGGGCAAGGGGCAGAAGTGGCAGGCAGTAAAGCCTAGTGCTGGCCCCAGAAGACGGATACCCCAGCAAAGGGATCCTAGGAGTGGCAGTTCTGAATTCGGCTCCCACTAATTCAGAATTTGTGATAATTCCCACATGGGCTTGAGCTGAGGTTTATCCATGTTCTACCTGTGAAGTAAGGGTTTGTCAAGTAAACTCATGCCGCAGATAAAACTAAGGAGATTCCTAACCTCCTCCAGCCCTAGCTCTCTTCATTAGACAGTCCAGTGTGATGGAAATGGAAAGAGGACTGAACTTAGAGGCAGAAGATGGGGGTTTGAATGTCAGTCCTGGCATCTACTAGCTATGTAAGCTTGGGCAAGTCCCTTACATTTCATCATCTGCAAAAAGGGGATCGAAATGCTTGTACTCTTTTCCCCATAGTTCTTGGGAGGAAAGGTCATTGTAAGCCATAAAGCCCTATGGGTGACCTAACACTATTAACATTCCTGGCAATACTGGCTTAGCCTAGTTCAAGGTACAAGATGTACTCACAGAATGAAAACAGAGTGGACATAGTGCTGTGAACTTCACATACTCTATTTCACTAGTGCCAACAAATTACTTGGGAGATGGGGACTATGGGTACGATCACCATCATCACCATCATCATCATCATTATCATTTTACAGATGAGGAAATCAAAGCTCAGAAAGGTTGCATGACCTTCATCCAGCTAGGAAGCAGAAGAGGCAGGATCTGAACGTAAAGTGTACCCTTATAGCTACTGATCTTCCTCATCCTTCCATACCGGCTTCCACTGGCACGGGCATCCCATAGTGGATGGAATTATCTGGGGAGGGATGCTGTTGCTGACCAAATGGATGGTCAAGAATGGAAATGGAGCCTGTATGGGCTCAGCACATGCTCTCCTCTCATTTTCTGCTCTCCTGCAAGGACAGAAGTGCAAAGCAGCTCTTTCTTACCTTATGTCACTACCTTCTAAGGAAGATTTCCCCAAGCCACTCAGTATGGAGATGTGGCTTTTGTGGGAAGCAAAACCAAGGCTTGCCTGCCTGTTAATAACATTCAGCCTCTCTACTTTTCCCTGCAGGGACGACTTCAAAGGAAGTCCCCTACCCTGCCAGAAGGCATCTTGGTTTTCTGCACTAACTACTAAAATAGTCACACTTCTGATCACAGGTAAGCAAGATGATCAGATTCTGAAGCAATCCTTCAGAGACTGTGCCAAGACAGTGGGGGATTGGGGAACGTGGAGAGGATAGCAAGGAAGAACACATGGCTGGGAAACTATAGCATCAAAAGAGGGCAAAATTTGAAGTCAGAGGACCTGGGTTTAAATCCTGGTTCAGTGACTTCTAGGAACAAGTAGGTGGTACAGTGGATAGAATGCTGGGAAGTATGCCTGGAATCAGGAGGACCTGAGTTCAAATCCAGCCTCAGACACTTACTAACTACGAGACCCTGGTCAAGTCACTTAACTGCTATTTGCCTCAGTTTTCTCATCCATCAAATGGGGTCAGCACCTACTTCCCAGGGTTGTTGTCAGGATCAAATGAAATAATAGTTATAAAGCCTTTAGCACAGTGTCTGGAGCACAGTCAGCACTATATAAATGTCAGCTCTACCGATGATGACCATTATCGTTGGATTATTATTGCATGGCAAGTCACTTCACCTCTAGGCCTCTGTCTCCTTGTCTATGAGATAAGGAGGTTCAACTCGATGACTCCTAAGGTCTCATCCAACTCTAAGCCTCTGATTCTACGCAATGAATCTCACATGCACTGCTGAGTGCCCAAGAGGGACATTTAGAAACCCCATCATGCCTCATGTAAAACAGCAAAGGCCAATCTCTCAGAACACCTCCCCATTTCAGTGAGGGAAGACAGCAGACACTTTCCTTTCATTAACAGTCCCAGATGACTTGCCACTCCACTTCAGAGGAAAAGGATACTGTAGGGAGAACCCAATGATGTTGTCTTCCTGACTAGGCCTTGGATCTAGAACCCTGCAGACTGTCAGTGGTGAGGCAGGGCAAAGCATGACAGCCCCAGGAAATGATATCTCCAGAAATTACTCCACTTGGGATTTCAAACCTCCAAGCTGTGCATCAAAGAGCATTCCTCCTCATGTTCCCAGTTGGGATGGAAGCATCATGCTCCATAAGGAAGTCAGGCCATCCCACCAAACCCTGCCTTGGAGACCGGGGCACCCAAACAGAGCTACTGAAATAAGACACCAGAGGACTATGGGGGCATCAGCTCATAAGCAGAGGTGTGGACAAAGATGCAGAGGGGGATAGAGGATGCTAAGATTGTAGCTTTAGAACTATAGAAGCCATTGAATGCATTCTGTAGATGCAGAAACTGAGGCAGAGAGTTCAATGGCTTACTTCAGGTCACACAAGTGGTAAATGTCTGAGGTGGGTTAGTAGACCCACCCAATATATTAGCACTATATTAGGAGTAGCAAGGAGCTGGAAACAAAGTAAATGCCCATAAACTGGAGAATGACTAAACAGATTGTAGTACATGAATGTAATGGGATATTACTGCACTATAAGAAACAGTGATCATGATGAATACAGAAAAACACAGGAAGATTCATATGAACTGATTGCAAAGTGAAATAGATAGAACAAAAAAAAAACCCAATATATCTATAATGGCTATTAGCAATTTAAAGAAAAGAACAATAAAACCATTGAAACTGACTGCTATGAAATTATAATGGTCAAACTTGACCTCAAAGAAGAGATCTAAGAAGACATCTTCCTTCCTTCTTTGCAGATACAGGAGGCTAAGGGCATGAAGCACTGAAGGGAATGTGGGCTTTTTCTATGTGTTGGTTATTCTTATTAAAGTAGATTTTTTTTAATATTTTTTTTTTATTCTGTTATAGGGGATGGCTCTCTGGGAGAGAGGGATACAATGAAAAACATAAGTGATATAAAAACAAAAGCTTTTAATAAAATCCATTACAAAATTTAAAAAAATCTCCCAGCCAATTTTTAGCACTCACTTATGACAAACTTTATCAGTTTAGAGGTAGGTAGGGCCTTAGAGATCATCTAGTTGTAGCCCTTTCTTTAACAGAGAGATTAAATGCCTTGGCCAAGGTCACACAGGTAGGGAACAATCCAATGAGGATTGGAACCTGTGGCCTAATTCCAAATTAAGTGTGTTCTCCCTGGTTCTCTCCTGCTCTCCTTGACTTGGTAAGGCTCTTATCCCATAAGTTCTCAGCCCCAGACACACAGCCCTCTCAGTATCACTCGACATCTTACCTGAGGTGAGAAGAAAGATCCCGCCAAATTTATAAAGTCGAGCATTGACAAAGGGCGCCCCACACACCAGCAGGAATACCCCCACCAGGCTGGCAGTAACACCTAGCACGATGAAAACCGTCCAGAATCCTCGGTACACTAGATGAATGAGAAAAGAACGTGACACGAGTACAGCAGAAGGCCGTGGCCACCTACCGAACCAAACTTGAGCTCCAGCAGCAATATGGCCACGGGTACAGAGCTGGCAGCAGCTTGGTATGAATCGGATGTTTGCCCACACAGAATTAATGTGTCTCTGCCCCTCCAATTTGCTTTACCTTCCTTCTGTCTCCCATAGCCAAATGAGTCTGAATTGCATTAGTGCTTTGGTGTTATCCTGATGATATATTTTTCCAGACTCACTACATATACACCAGAAGGAGACTGCCCAACCCTAAAAAGTTATTTCATTGGATTCAATCCATAACAAGTGATTCCGAGGACTCAGCAATGGCTTCTCCATAAAGAAATCCCCTTCTCGAGTAATAATTCCACCTTTCATTTGAAAATCATTTCAAACCCTAACCCCAAGGATCCAAAGTAGAATGGAGCACTGATGATACCTCCTCAAATAACTTTGCCTTTTCAGTCAAAAGTAGACTTTGGAGCCTGAATCAGTACCACAGGCCTTGAGGGCTGCATCTGACTTTCCAGATGCAGAGGTGACCAGGGTGCTCTAGCCTTCTGCCTCATCATCTCTGGTCTTCCACTGAGATCTAGAATTCTCTTCCTCTTCTGTCTTTGCCAAGCATCTGGACCAGAAGTTGGGGAATGTGTTTCAAAGCAAGAACTGATCCCTACACATGGACAGATGGTTTCAAGGAGAGCTCAAATCCACTTATGGCCAGGGCTAACACTGAATCAATTGTAAACATCACAATGTTCTGTGTTAGGATAGCATATGATACATTTGCAAATCACTCTGCCATCCCTTATCTCATTGGAGGAAAGTATTTTCTTATCCCTAAAAGAAGTGCATCCTGCTTTCCTATCCCAAACCAAGGCCTTAGTGATTGATCTTCTATCTGGTGCCAGCCTATCTTTCTAGAATGATTTCCCATCACTTCCCCTCATACAAACTGGTCTCCATGCTATCCCCTGTACCTGACATTCTGTGCCTCTGGGTCCTGCCCCTGGGCCTCTGTGCAGATTGTCCCCTTTGCCTGAAAACACTCTGCTCATCCCTAGCTCCCTGCAAGGTTCAATTCCAGTGCTACCTCTTAGACAAAGCCTTTCCTGAACTGTGTATATATGTGTGTGTGTGTGTGTGTGTGTGTGTGTGTGTGTGTGTGTGTGTGTGTCCCCACAACTGCTCCACCAGAAAGGGCCACTCAGTATGGTCCACTTTTTGGCCATTGGACAAGGACCTCACATTTTTGTTCCTGTAAATAGGCTTCTTCTTGGTACCTTTTCTACTCCCTCCCACCTCAAGCATAATTCATGACGTCTAAGGGAAAGTACGCTGCATTCCATACACTCTAGCTGATCTGAGACCTCATCAATGTGGATACTGTTTCTAGTGACGCAAATCACGCCCCAGTCATGCCTGCTCATCCTATACAACACTTGTCCATGTCTATCCATAAATCCTCAAGACAGAGCCAATCCAGCAAAACTTACTTATTGGTCTTCAGACAAAGATCTCACATTTAGAACAGCAAAAGCTAACTGAATGGTTGGTTATAGATGGCCTCAAGATTGTTGAGATTCACGGTCCTCTCTATCCAACACAAAGTCCTGGCTCTGGCAACTTCAAACATATTAGAAAGGCCTTAAGCACAGTCCCAGCAACACACTGACTCTGCTTTCCAAGGTTCCACCTAGCTTAGCCTACTTAAGTACAAAGGCTCATCACCAAAAGGACAGCCACTTGGGGGATGAATACCATCTGTGGAAATTTATGAAATAACAAAAACTACAAAACTGCCCTAAATCTGGAGCAATGAGGATGGCAGAGTGAGAGTACTAGGGACAGAGGGAGGATGTTAACCTTCCACACAGAAAGGAAAATCCTAGCATCCATTAGCAGGGAAGGGTTTGGAATAATTTTCCCCATGACAGGAATTAGTTCCCATACTTGCTGACATATATCTTCTAGGCGGCTAGAAGAATTCAGGGCCACAAAGCAAAGCCAACTGGCCTGTACAAGGATCCAAATGACAGCTTTGGTTTGGTAACTCTGTATGCCAGCCCATTGAGACAATAGGCTTTGGACCATGCCACGTGTATGACGTATTTCTGTTCTGTGTCTAAAATGGCATAAAGCAAGATGAGACTGAGGACAAAGGTCAGGATGGAGAAGAGAAGAAAACACAAGGCCTAAGCATACTTTTCCAAACTCACCTGCAGTCGCATCATAAGAAGGATGTGGTAAAGGTCCCAGAGCAATGGGCATAGGAAAGAGATAACCGGGGCGGCAGTGCTTGGTACGAGGTTGGTTAGCTACAAAAGGAAAAAGAAAAACTGATTAGACTCTGACAAGCACCCACCAACAAATTTTAAGCTTCCACAAATTACACATTTAACAACGGGCAAAACAGATAGAAATAATTAGTTAGGACCTGACTATAGAGGCAGTAGAAGTATAATGGAGAGTACCTTGGGCTTGGAGTCAGGAAGACCTGGATTCAAATCATACCTCTGACACTTACTGAGCAAATCACACCCTCTACGTGTCTCAGGCAACTCCGCAGAACTATCTACTGCGTCATAGATACATGCAATCTGCATTGGTGGAGGGAGTTCCCATATCCAGAGTTCCTTTTGCACATTTGTGTAACTAGAAGCTGGAAAGACACTGCAGGGCTGGGATTAATGCAGTCACCCTTGATTACACATCCTCACAGAGGGAAGGAAGCAATGACACTGAGGCTCAGAAGGAAGCAGCCTCCAATGAAGTCCCCAAAGCCGGCACTCCAGATTGGCCATGAAGTACAATGGGACGTGTTCACAGTTTATGTATCTTCCAGCCAAGATAATAGCCAACTCAAGAGATAAGAGCATGCCGTAGCCTACTCTGAAATAGAATCCGTAACAGCGGCACGTGTGCCAAACCATCTGGAAGGGAACTGAGTCACTGGCTGCTGCAGGGACTGGCCAGTGTCTGCAGCCATGAGAAGTGCTGAGTGATTAATGAGACTGCTGCAATTAGCATTGACGAGAGACCGCTTCTTTTCCAATGTTCCCTAGTTAAGAGGAGCAGAGTATAATAAAGGCACACTTGTTCCTACCCAAATGCCTCTGAAACTCTTATTGAATTGATTATCATTAGTACAAGGGGATCAAAATAATTGGACCTAATCTGCTTCTATTCTAATCAATGCCAAAGAAGGGAATGAGGATCTGTCAGTCTCTAGTGAAGTGTGCAATGGAAAACATGGGGTGTGCAGGCTGCCTTCCTCTTAGTACGCCTCTGCACGTGCCCAGCTCAGACACCCACCTGAAAAGGAGGCTCTCAGGATGCCAGGCCCTCACACAGGAAACACTTCCACCAACTGCACTGTCCTTCTCCTCCTCACCCTCATTTGAAACTGAATTCCTCCTTGACACCTCCTTCTCCACACCCCCAAAAGGTTTCAAGCCCCTTGGAGAACTCCTTCCTAATGGCTTTTGCATTTGGCCCCTGCTGCTAACTGTCTCTCAGGCTTTCCTTCTTCTATCCCACCCCTACCCCTTGGCAGGCTAATCTTCCTAAAACGTCCCTTTCATCAGGTCATGCCCCTGATCAGGCCTCCAGGTCACGCCACAGAAAGGTATGTTGAAAGAAGTGGGGATATTTAGTCTGGAGAAGAGAAGACCCAGAGGACATGACAGATATCTTCAAGTATGTGAAGGGCAGTCATGGGGATTATGGTCTAGACTGGTTTAGTTTGGCCCTAGAAAACAGAATGAGGAGTGATGGGTAGAAGTCACAAAGAAGCCGAATTAGAGTTGAGGGCCAAGTGTAATGGGCCACCTTGAAAGACAATAGGTATGCCTCTACTTTGGAGGTTTTCCAATAAAGACTGAACGATCACTTATCAAGGGCATTGTGGGCATTCTGTTTCAGAAATGGATTGGATTAGAAGGACTCCAAAGCCTCTTTTAACTCTGAAATTCTGTGATTCTGCTTAAAAGCCTTCACTGGATCCCTAGAACCTACAAGATAAAGTCTCATTCATTAGCCTGGCATTCAAGGCTCTCCACAATTTGGTCCCAACTTACCATTCCAACCTAATCTCCTATTACTCCCTAATATAAAGTCACTGCTTCACTTGGACAGGTCCTCCAAACACCTTGGTATCTTTTCTCATGCCCTGGAATTCAACTCAATTCAAGATACATTTGTTTAAGTGCCTCCTATGAGCAAAGTCCTGTCCTGGAACATCCCCCTGCCCACTCTTCAGGCTCAGTTCCTACTCCACCATCTTCCTTCCTAAGCCCTCTTGTGAAATTCCATAAATCTTACCTCCCATACAAAACATCGCTGTCCAGCAATGCCTCTGATGTCCTCATCTGGGATTGCTGACCTTTTTGTCTGTTCACAGCTTGGATCCAAACTAGACTATAAGTGCTTTATGCTCCTTAGGTTCCCCTGTATTTCCCATGATGCCTAGCAGAAGGCTGGCCACATAATAGCTAATAAATATTGGAGGACCATAAGCTTAGGGTGAGAAGGTACTTTATTTTCCAGATGAGGAAAATGAGGCCCAGACTTGGGGGCACTTGGACTCTACATGTGCCAAACTGAACACCTTATCTCCCCACCCAATCCACCTCTGTTCCAAACTTCCCTCTGACTGGCACCATCTTCCCAGTCACCCAGATTTGCAACCTAGGTGTCATCCTTGACCCCTCACTTGCACTCACCCCATCTATTAAGCTAGTTGCCAAATCTTCTCTATTCTCCCTTCATAACATTGCTTGCAAAGCTCCCCTTCTCGCCACCATTCAAGATCAGGATCTCATCTCTGCTCACCTGCACTATTAGAATGGTTTTCTATTGGTCTCTTTGCCCCAACCCTCCCCCAATCCATCTTCCACTCAGTAGCCAAGGTGATTTGACCAGACCAAAGATCTGGGCAGGCCATTCCCCAGCTTGCCAAACTCCACTGATTCCCTATCTTCTAAGATCAAATATAAACTTCTCTGTTACTTAAATTGCTGCAAACTTTGCCTCTTTCTCCCTTTCCAGTCCTCTTTCACATTCAGGCAAACTGGCATACTTACCGTTCTTCGCACACAACATCCCATCTCCCACCTCTGCGCCTTTCCCTTGGCTGTGCCCCATGCTTGGAATGTTCTCCCTCCTCACCTTGGCCTCTTTGAATTCCTGGCTTCCTTTAAGATTCAGCTCAAAGGCCGCCTCTGGGATTAACCAGTAGATACTGGGTATCTACTCTGTACATATCCTGTATGCACCTATTTATATACAAGCTGGCTCCCTCATTTGAATGTAAGCTTCCTGAGGGCAGGAATTATTTTTGTCTTTTTCTTTTTATCCCCAGTGATTAGCACAAGGATTCTTAACCTTTTTTGTGCCATGGATCCCTTTGGCAGTTTGGTGAAGCCTAAGGACCCCTTCTCAGAATAACGTTCTTGAATACATAAAATAAAATGCATAGAATTACAAAGAAACTCAATTAGATTGAAATAAAGATGTACTTTTTTCCCATCCAAATTCATGAACCCTCTGAACTGTCCACAGAGCAAGGTGTCCATCAACCCCAGCTTAACAAACATTGGCTTAGCCCAATGCCTGGCACACAGTAAGAATCTGATAAATGCTTACCGGTCAATTAATGGACGAATGAGTTTTATAGGTTATAGGATCATTAACCTGGAGATAGAAGGGGTCTTAGAGGTCATCTAGTCCAACCCACTCATTTGACCACTGATGGAACTGAGACCAATAGAGGTTAAGTGACTTGCCCAAAGATCACCCAGGTAGTGAGTAGCCAGGCCAGAATTTGACCTTCTGATGAATTCAAATGGCCACAGGCCTTCTGTAGAAACCAGTAAATGAAAACATAAAGTGGTATCTTCTGAGCACAGGCCTCTTAGAACTCAGGCTCAGCACCTTGTATTCACTACCCTCCAATTTATAATCCCCATATATCAGAGCTTCCCAGAAATCATGAGCAAGTCTCTCTCAGTTGCACTCACTGAACCAGAATTTCCAGACGTTCCCGTGGGTGCCCTCTCCTGAGAACCAGCACCTCCAGAAGAAGCCTTCATGGTGGAATGTGAGGACACCTCTTGAGGAGTCTCTGGAAACACCTTCCTACAAGAAATAAAACATAGCAACGTTTGAAGCTGTGGCCCTACCACTGGAAAAGTCCAGCTTGGACATGGAGTTCTCACACTAGTTGGAAGGCTGCCTTAGCTTTCCAGCAAGGGGGAAGCAAGCTAAATGCACAGGACTGGGCCCAGAGTGTACCCTGAGAAATCACCCAGTCATTTTACAGATGAGGAGACGAAGGCTTGGAGAGGGAAGTACTATTCTCGAGGCCCCAGAGCTAATAATTTGGCAGAGCCAAGATTTAAACCCAGGTCTTCTGAAAACAGAGCACACCCAAGGAGCAGTTAGTAATAGCTCGATGTCAACTAGTTCAGGGCCCCCAGGCATCCCCACTGTGCCCTCTGCTGGTTAGCTGTTTTATAGGTAACAGAGACAAAGGTGAGGGCCTAGCAAATGTGCAGATGTCACTAAGCTGAGACGGCCAGCTAACACATGGGACAAGAAGGATGGGATCCAAAAGGATCTTGACAGTCTGGAACAATGGGTAAAAATTAAAAGGGATAAATAGAGAGTCTTATATTTGGACTGAAAAACAATCAACTTTACAAGTACAACCCAGGGGAGGTATGGCTAGACATCAGCTTGCCTGAAAATTCTCTGGAGATGCTAACGAAGTGCAAGCTCAATAAATCAGTAGTACATTATGGCAGCCCCCAAGCTACTGTGAGCCTGTCAGTCTGCATTTGGAGACCTGGGGTCACCAGGCCCAGGGAGCCAACAGCCCTGCCCTGGACCAGGTGTGACCTTTGGAGTGCTGCCTTTGGAGAAGGACATCGATAAGCTGGAGGGGGTCCAGATGATGACAAGAAGGATCAGAAATGACCCCGGGGTCATGACATATGAGGATCCAGTGAAGGAGCATGGAGATGTGGGGCATATAGCCTGGAGGAGAAAAGACCTGGGGAGGAGACAGGGGGCGGAGCAAAATGCCATCGAACCTGTGGTTGTATGGAAGAAGGAAGTATTCTACTTGGCCCCAGAAGGCAGAACTAGGACAGTTGTGGGAGAGAGTCAGAGAAAAAGTCCCTAAGAATTGGAGCTCCCCCAAAGTGGAGAGGGCTGCCTCAGGAGGCAGTGGTGACTCCCTCATTAAAGGTCTTCAAGCAAAAGCTGGATGCCCACTTGCTGGGGATAGAAGTTGGAGATGGGAATACTTTGGCCTAGGTGGCCCCCAGGTCCCCTCCAATTCCGAGATTGTGTGACTATAAATCAAGAAATACTTGTCAAATGACTAATTCACAGAGACTTAAATATGAGATGGGAGTCACAAACACTACTTAATTACAGACAAGAATAAGTACGATCCCACCAATGGTTTAACTCCTGGTTAAAAAAATGGTTAAACTCCTGGGAAATTAAAAAAAAAAACAGTTCCCTAAAACACTCTATTCCCAAACTGGGATGTTAGTTTGTTTGAATATCTTTCCCATTATCAACTTAGATTTATAGATTTTTTTTCTTACAGCTATATCAGAAAACCATTTGGACACAAGCTTTCAGTTTAACTAACCGCAATGCTCCAGTCCTACTAATAAACATCTTGCAAACCTCTGTGAAACCATCTGTCCCACTATGTCTCTATGGTCGTCCAATGGGCAGAGATCCAGGATTCCCCTAGTCTCTTGATATACCGTTCCCATCGTTTGGGTAGAATGGTTCCAGGTGAGTCTGATGCATGGAAAAATGGGCCACCAGTGCGGGTTGGCAGCTTGTTTTTCCAAGTTCCTTGGCCAGGATGGCAGTGGCTGAATAAAAGGCTGGATTATAAAATACAGTCAAACTTCATTAATTGCGAAGGACCAGGAGGGAGGTGAGACTGGATTAGTGTCAAGTTTGAATTATGGAGTTATTTTTCATTAAAATGAAGTTTAATTATTGTATTTGCCTAGATACTGGCCTCTCCTAAAAACAGGCTGCACACCCAAAATGAGATCTCTTTGAAAGAAAAAACAGATACAGACGTTAAAAAATACCATGGCTAGTAGGCCACAATCAGGTTTTATACAAGACAGATGTGAGGGAAAAGTACAACCTATATTTGAGCAAGTATGCTACATACATATTGTGTTCCATAAGGATACATATGAAGCTCAGAGACTAAGAATATTCCCCAACAGAGGAGTCTGCCATTCTGTATAGATTCCCTGGAATTCCTCCTCGAGCACACTGACAGTCCCCAGCTAGAGACCAGAGAGAGATATCCTTTTGTGGTGTTGTGTTTAGTATTGTGATCCCACCTTTGCCAGGAAAGCCCAACCTCCCCACATCCTCTGCTCCCAAATACCTTCCCTACCAGGTTTGCTTTTACCTGGAATTCTGCAGTTAGGCAGGCATCAGATTATATGGCAGAAAGATCCCAATGGCATGGAAAAGGGAAACAGAGACAGCAGAGACAGTGGTTTTGATTGCCAATTTCTCTGAGGATCAAGTCTATGATACTTCCGCGTCCCTAAGTTCCCTTTTCCATGGAGTAAGACCAGATAGCTCCCTCACCCAGAACTAAGGGGAAAAATGGTGACATTCAGGCCACCCATACAGATATGTACCCCAAATATATATGATAGTAGCCTTGACTCGGGTTGTTGTTAACCCAGACCCATGATTTCATCACTGTGGTCACCTCCTGGTGTGAAGCTTCAGATGACAGTGAGATTGTGCCAGTGGCAGGCCTCGAACCCAGTTCTCATTGACTCTGGGATCTCCTCCTATGCCATGCTGCCTTTCTGACCATGCCTTAGAACACCATTAAACGTTAGGGCCATAGAACTGTTGAGATAAAGCTGCGAGTCTGCATCTGAGCTCCGCGATGAAAGAGCCCTTTGGGGTAGACCACAGTTCAAACCAAACAAAGGCTGCTTTCAGAGGTCTGGAGAGAGAAAGCTCTCCCTCAGAGCTTAATTCTAGAAACCATTTCCTTAGTGAATGAATGGAATGTATGGATACGTTTTTCTCTGTAAGCCTTCCTGGACATTTACTTTGCCAAATTCCTCAAATGCATAAATCCCTGACCTGTTGCTTAAGGTATATAGCTGAGGAGAAGCCATGTGGGACAACGGTGAGGGGGTCAGCCTTGGAGTCAGGCTAACCTGGCTTCAAGGCTTGCCTCTGACACAGACCAGCACTGTGGACCTGGCCAAGTCACCTACCTTCTCAATGCCCCAGTCAACACTGTAAGACTGCAAACTGCAGACACATTGCCACTGTGCACAATCGGAGAGAGTTTCCACACAAAGAGTTCCCTGTACTGATGAAATCTCAGGTCTGGACCAAAAATAATTTTGAAAATATGACATTTCGTTTGAAATAAGAAAGGTAATGAGAGCCCTAAACATTTGGAGAACCTAGACTATCACCTCCAAGTAAGTAAAATACCTCTCCTGACACTTCAACATCTAGGTCAATCCCCTTGTTTTACAGACAGGGAAACCGAGGCTCAAAAGAGACAAGTGACTTGGCCAAACTTACATGTTAGGGAGCAGTGAAGCTGGGAACAGAACCCAGATCCCCTGACTCCCAAGCAAGTCTACAAGTCCAGGACACCACTGGGCCTCTCTTTCCCTCTCAGGCCTCACTTGGGCCTCCCAAGGGCAGTGTTTTTCAGGAGATGCTTTGACAATACCCAATAGTTTCAATCATTGCCAGGTACTAAAAACACAAATTAAAATGAAGAGCCTAAGAGCCATCTTGTAGCATTTTTGTGGCAGTTTCCTCAGATCCAAATTTCTTTCTTAGGCCGTTAGAGGGAACCCCAGTAGCTTTTCATAAGGTTCATCTGATCACTGCTTACCATCTCAATGTCCAGAGTTCCATTTTTAGATGCAAACTCTCCACAGGCCTCTGTTGCTAGCAGCCAGTACTCGGTTCCAAAGGCAACGAGGAACAGAAGAATGCCAATAACACCAACGATTCCTGCAACCAGGGCACCAATTCCAGTTTTCATGCTCGAATGAGTGGCTTTGCTGCTCCCTATGCCCCACAAGAGAAGCTCTGAAGTGACCAGCTGTCAGGGACTGCCCAGCATTGGGATACAGCGAGGAGGGGTCCTATTTTAAGACTCAGATGAATATCATTTTAGGATTGGTCCAAGTTGTGGAGAGCTCCAAGAGCAGTGCTATTAAAAGAAGATGACCCTGATCAGCCAAGTCATTAGAGTATTAGCCAAAAGGTTCCACAAGTGTGGCCCAAAGAATCCAGTGGGAAAAAGGCACATTCATTTCCCAAATGAAGGCTGGCTCCCACACACCTTTGCAGTCTGATTGTGTATTATTCCCCTTTATGACCTCTACAATCCACACCTTTGCACAGGTGCTTTGAAGGCACAGCTTAAGTGTCTGTCCTAAATGCGAATGATCTTCCTTGATTTCCCCAACTGTTGATGCTTTCTACCTCCTGAAATGACTTTGTCCTGCCTTACATACACTGTATTGTATGTTTACTCATCTGGACATGGGAATCCAGATATCTTCCCCGACAGAATGTAATCTCACTGAAGGCAGGGACTACTTGGATTTTGCTTTGTTTCCTTACCTAGAACAGTGCACATAGCAGGTGTTCAATAAATGCCTGTTGAATTGAATTAGGTTAAATGAAGAAGGCTAGATAAACAAGTGCTAGATCATTTGACAGCTAAATGGAGGATGGACTGGAGTGGGAAGCGACTTGAGGCAAGACAGACGAATGTGATGTACTGATGAAGAATATCACCCAAAAAAGAGGAAAAAAAATTCAAAAAAAGAATAGCACCCACCACTGCCAGATAGGCGATAGATTCTTTACGTGAAATGAGACAAACATTTCGGGAAATGACCCATGTGAGAATTTGTTTTCCTTGACTATGCATTTTGTTATAAAGATTTTGTTTTCCAGACGGATGGAAGAGGGAAAGAGGAAAAATAAATGTTTGCTAATGGGGGGGGGGGGAATGAATTACAAGAAGAAAAGCAGCAGCATGGAAAATACAGGATCATCAAGATATAAGAAAGAACAAGAACAAGAGAAAGGGAAACCCTGGGGGAATCCATTAGAAAATAGGACTGAGGGGCAGCTAGGTGGTGCAGTGGATAGAGCACTGGCCCTGGAGTCAGGGGGATCTGAGTTCAAATTCGGCCTCAGACACATAACACTTACTAGCTATGTGACCCTGGGCAAGTCACTTAACCTCCATTGCCTAGCCAGAAAAAAAAAATGAAGTCTGGAGACACAAAGGTATCCCAAAGACTCTTCCAGGAGTTTTGTGAGGTCAAAACTATTTCTACAATAACACTAAGACATTTTAATTTATAATATAGTAAATACTGATAAATGTAACCCACATTAATAAAAACTCTTTGGGGGGGGGTCCTCAGTCATTTTTAAGAATGTAAAAAAATTCTGAGACCAGAAAGTTTGAGAAGCACTGTTCTAGACAATTCTCTAAGACATATGCAACAGCTGCAGATTGTTGCAGCCCCCATTGGTAGAGTTGCCTCACCTGGGAGTTCCTTTTACTAATGAAATAAGAAGTCCAGGCCCTATCCTAAATATATCCAAGGCCAGGGGAGCAGGGAAGCAGGGAAGCAGGGAAGTGGGAGGAGGAGAGCAGGGACACATGGAGTCACAATCCTTGGTTTCACAGACCTTACAGTCTACTAGGGAAAATGAAACCTATCCACAAAACTGAAGACAAAACCAAACAACCTGTGATCAAAGGTTGAGTTGTATAGCACATATGGCACTTAGCTAGTGCAGAAACAGGAAAGACACCTCTGGGCTGGAGTAGCAGATGAGCTTGTGAAATAAGTTCCTTTACTGATTCAGGCACCAAGCATTTGTTGAATATCCATCCCTTGCTCACTAGGAACACATAGATGTTCCATAATCCATCCAGAGGAGAGTGACCAGGATGGAGAGGTGACTACTGACCACACCATAGGAGGACTGGTTAAAGGAATCAGGGATGTTTAGCCTGGAGAAGAGGAAACTTAAGGGCCATGTGACAGATGTCTCCATATACCTAAAAGCTATCTTGCAAAAGAGAGATTAGCCTTTGTTCTCCTTGGCCCCTGAAGACAGAACCAGGACCAGTGGCTGGAGCCTGGGCCAAAAAGTCCACTGAGGCTTGATGTCAGGAAAACCTCCTGACCCTTAGGCCAATCTCAAAGGAGAGGGAACGAGCTGCCTGCCAAGGAAAAGTCCCTCCCCAGCCAGCTTCAGGAAAGGCTGCTTGAAGAGGTTGTGACAGAGGCTCCAGGTTGCATGTACATGGATAATCTGACATCTCTTCTAGCTTTGAGAGTCTCTGATTTCTTATAACAATGATATAAGGAGAAGCAGATGAATTGTGACATCTGAATGGTCCAGACTAAGCACAGATAAGGCAGATCCTGATGGACTGGGCAACAGAGAAGGGGGCAATGGAAAGAGAGGGCATTCCTCCCCAGGCAGCTGCCCTTGAGGGATTTTGTCCCCCAACTGTTCCACCTGCTCACATCAGTGAAGGAATTCTCCCCTCCCAGAAGCCTGAGAGTCAGCTGCAAAAGCTACGTGAAAAAGGAGACATGGCCCCAGATCACCATGGCTTGGCAGAGCTTCCCACTAGGGTGTGTCCAAGAGGCCCAGGGAGGGGAGGGGATGGGTTTTCAGTTCCTTGTCTAAAAGTTCACTACTCCCATCCACAAGCAGAGAGGGGCCTTCCCTGGGCACTGCCTTCTTTGAGATTGGAGCTTCCACACCAGAAGCTTCCCAATTAGCTGAGACCTCACCAGGCTCCAGGTTTTGCTGCTCTTGGGCCCAACACCTTGACTTTGCCACACAAAGCTGCATCTATCAATATGCCACAAAGGCCCTGCCTTGGGTGGCTTATGTTACCAGCTGAGCGTGCTAATCAGTCTTTATAAAAAGAAGCTGCATCAGTGACAAAGAGCTGGTGACTAAAATAAGATTGTGAGGATTGAGTAGCTGGCAGCCTGGGGAGAATTAGCCAGTCAGATCTGATTTCACTACACTTTTAAAGGCCAAGGCCAATTTCACTGATAAAGTTTGATGGTGACAGCTGAAGTTTCAAATCCTAAATATTTAACAAAAGCTAGACCTCAACTTAAAGCCTCTTCTGGAATGATCAGACTCTGACTTAGTTGCAAGAGGGCCAATTTCCTCTTATCTGATTTAGTAAAAAGAGCCCTGGATTTGGAGCATGGAGATCTGGGTTCCAATCCCCGTTGTAATACTTACTAGTTCGGTGGCCTAGAGTAACTCACTGAACCTCTCTGTGCCTCAGTCGCCTCCTTTGTAAAATGAACAAGTGGAGCACATACAGTAAACTGTCTCTAAGGACACTACTGGCCCTAAATCTATGATCCCACAAAAATTAATTTATCAGCTACTACTTGTGATGCAGACATGCCAAAAGGCCGCTTGGAAGATTACTGCAATTTATCTGCCAACACCAGTTGCACAAAATATCAAAAAATGAAATGTAAACTATCTTAGCAGATAGGAAATGACTGGTTATTGAGGGGATGCTCAGTTGTTGATCAGCTGTCTTTCTACTAGTTAAAGCAAAAGTAAATAATCAACACTAGATTAGAAGAAATGAAAAAGATGAGAAGACACTACACAGAATTATAATAGCTCTAAGCTAAATTATCTAAATGAGTTGTTTACTCTTAAAAAAGGAAAAGGGTGAAAGTCAAGACACTGAATGGCTTCTTAGAGAAGTCAAAATGATATAAAAGTGACTACAATGAGGAAGCCAAATGAACCCAGAAACCATCTTAACTAGCAAATGCTCGATCTTCTTACAAAGTGGAGAGGCATGGCAAACTGAGGCCATTCACCAAGAGCTCCCTCTTCTCCCCTCCTCTTCATCTCACATCACTCAGATCTCTTCCCCTACTACCTCCCCTTTTACTTTATTTCACATGAAGAGATAGCCCTTCTCTTTACCTAGGAGAACCAATCTACAAGAACCCTTGATCCCATTACATCTTATCTTCCCCAGTAGATTGCCCCCTCTATCAACCACACACTCTAACTAATCTTCAATTTCTCCCTATCTACTTGATGTTTCCCTGCTGCCTATAAACAGTCTCATGTCTTCCACATCCTTAAACCCCTCACTTGAATATCCCTTCCTGCTAGGTATCATCCTATAGCTCTCCTTCCTTTTATGGCTAAAGTTCTTGATAAAACCATCTACAATTAGTGGCTCTATTTCCTATCCTCTCTATTCTAAGCTCTCTCTGCAGTATGGCTTCTGACGCCATTATTCAAATATAACTGCTCTTTCCAAAGCTAACTATGATCTCTCACTTGCCAAATCTAATTGCCTTTTCTCCATCTTCACCCTTCTTGACAGAGCTTTCACAGCCTGAGACTGTTGATCACTTTCTTTTCCTGGATGCTGTCTTCTCTCTAGGTTTTTTGAGGGTGATCTCTCCTGGTTGTTCTCCTACCTGTTTGACCACTCCTTCTTAGTCTCCCTTGCTGGATCTTCATCCAGTTCACTCCGGATTACTACAGGTACTCCATGAATATTTGTCTTGGGCCCTCCTTTCTTCTTTTTCTATACAATCACACTTGGGGAGCTCATCAGTTTCCATGGATTCAATTATCATCTCTATGCAGATGATTCTCAGATCCATTTGTCCAGCCCTAAACTTTCTCCTGACTTCTAGTCTACCATCTGCAACTGCCTATTAGACATCCCATAGGTATCTTAAATTCAATGTGCCCAAAATGGAATTCAATGTCTTTCCCCAAGCCTTCCCCTCTTCCTAACTTCCCTGTTATTGTTGAGGGGACACCATCCTCCCAGTCACCCAGACTCACAACCTAGGTGTCATTCTCAACTCCTCACTCTCTGTCATGCCCACCCCACCATGTGAAATCATTTGCTTAATCTAGTCAATTCTACTTTTATAATAGTTTTC